CTCTAAATCAAAAAGTGAAGCAGACCAAATCCAATGTAAATATTGGCAACCTCCGAAAGCTAGGAAACTTTACCAAACCTGAAATGAAAGTTAACTTTCTAAAACCAAACTTAAAAGTAAATCTTTGGAAATCAGATAGTAGTCTTGAGACAATGGAAAACACAGGAGTGATGGATAAGGTTCAGGGAGAGTCTGATGGGGACATGTCTTCAGATAATGACTCATACCACTCTGATGAATTCCTTACAAATTCTAAATCTGATGAAGACAGGCAGCTAGCTAATTCATTGGAGAGTGTAGGGCCAATAGATTATGTTCTTCCTAGTTGTGGTATTATTGCTTCAGCACCTCGATTAGGCAGTCGGTCCCAGTCTGTTAGCAGCACTGATAGTAGCACTCATGCTTCTTCAGAGGTTACTGTTGCTCATGGGAGTGGGCTTGGAAAAGGCCAGGAGTCGTCTTTGAAGAAAAGTCCCTCTGCTGGCAACATACACATACTGACTGGCTTTGCCAAGCCTATGGATATTTACTGCCACAGATTTGTGCATGATGCACAAAGCAAAGTGGCCCACCTATCAGAGATCAGATCTGTCCCTCAGCAGGCTAGTCAGGAAATAAATCAAATGACCAATCAAGTTTCGAATGAAGAAACCCAGTCAGAATCAACAGAACAGACCCCTTCTCGGCCGTCTCAATTAGACGTATCTCTTTCTGCAACAGGCCCACAGTTTTTGTCAGTTGAGGCAGCACATTCAGTTGCACCTCAAAAGACCCCCAGCTCCGCTTCCAGCATGCTTGAACTGGAGACAGGGCTTCGCGTAACTCCTTCTCCTTCAGACAGCAGTAGCAGCAGAGCAGTCTCTCCCTTTGCCAAGATTCGAAGTTCCATGGTCCAGGTTGCTAGTATTACCCAAGCTGGATTAACCCATGGGATAAACTTCGCTGTGGCAAAAGTTCAGAAGAGTCCGGCAGAATCTGAAGTGATTAATGAAGTCCGGCAAAATGAACTTAAAAATATGTTTATACAATGTCAGACACGGATAATTCAGATTTAGCTTTTAGCCAGAAGAATACTTCCATGGCTTTTATTTAAAAATATGAAAATAAATTTTCACCTCTTGGGGTATTTTAATTGTACTGTCTGAATCCAGGGATCACCAATTCTGTTTATTGGAAAGGGTTTTAAAAGGAGTCTGAACCTGAGTAGATTCCAAAATTTTAGAGCCAGGACTACAGAAGTGCATCATTCTAGAATGTGTAGAACTGAGGAGCTTAGACACTACAGAAAACTTCGCTTATTTGAAAGCAATTCAGCAACAGGTCACTTTGGGATACAACCTGAACCTTTTTTTGGAGTGGGGTAGGTGGATACATTAAGTAGACACAAGAGCTGGACATGCAGCGTTTTTCATAATTTGTTTGTCAGTTCATTCCTGTGTGTTACCACCTCTACAAAGTAACTTATACATTTAGTTTTCAGTGACTTTAACATGTTACCGAAGCATATGAATTTAAAGCTATTTTGGTTTGATGGCTCAACTATTCCCTGAGGAGTTGAGGGTTGACACTAAAATCAAGGAAAGAATTCTGATTTGATCCTAATTTTCCCCATATTCTACTTGAACACATTAAAAATATTCTGCTGCCTATACCATGTAAACCTAGGAGCATTAACACTTGCCAGTCACACGGTAAACCTGATGATGACATCAGATGTGAATACCAGCACCTATTAAATTTCATTTTGCTGTTTTCGGGAATGTAAGAACACATATATTGGCTACTGGAAATTCTATAAGGAAGTCAGATTTTAATTTATTCCAGGAGGGACATCCTCAGCATCTTATATAGACAACTCACAACTTTACAATTTAGGCTGGGCCAAGTGCACTGGCTCACACCTATATACCAACACATTTGGGAGGCCAGGAGTTTGAGACCAGCCTCGGAAATGTCTCTAACAAAAACATACAAAAATTAGCCAGGCGTAGCGGTGCACGCCTGTGGTCCTAGCTACACAGGATTACTACTTGAGCCCATGAGGTTGAGGCTGCAGTGAGCTGTGATTTTGCCACTGCCCTCCAGCCTGGGGGACAGGGCAAGACCCTGTCTCAAAAAGAATTAGTCTGAAGCACAACTGTGCTAAAACTGGTCTTCTGACTGTAACTCTGACCACACAGAACCAGGGCTGCCTCTGTAATCCACACAAGAAAGTTGCACAGCATATTCCAGCAAGTATTGGTTTGTCTGATATCTTTAGAGCTTTTACTCTGTTGAAGTGATTCTCAGCTGAACATTATGTCTGTTGTAACTTTGATAAGCATTCCACTTTTGTTATTTATTGGTGGTATCTTTTTTTTTAACATGTTAAATCTTGTGATTGATTATTAAAATAAAGTACCATGTAATTTAAAGTGACAATGTGTATGAGAATTCCTTGCATAACAGATTAAAGAATTTGTAAACAGAGCAGATTTGCTGTAACTGAACACTTGGTCTAGGTGTTGCCAGTATTTTACTCCTTAGAAGGATACTCATGATCTTAAAAAATGATGAAATGGATAAGAAACTATACTTTAAAATCCAGACATTCAAAACTGAATGTGTTCTTCTACCAACTTTTCTTCCAGGTCCTAAAAATATTAAGGGTTCCCAATATGGGAGAAAATACAAGCCAATGTCATGTGATAAAATACACATTTAAGCTCCACAGAAATTAGTTTGAAAAAGATTTTTGAAAAATTAAGAAGGCAAAGTTTCAAATGGTTATACGGGAGTCTGCTCAGTTCCCTGGCCATTCACACAGGATTAACGCTGTACCTTAAATGAGAGCAACAAACTTCACTGTCCATCCCCGTATACAGGTAAGGGACAAAGGGCTTCCGTCAACAAGCGCTGCACTCCACTCCGCTGCCTGGGGGGTGCGTTGAGCAGGAAGGCCTCTCTTGCACCACCTCCTCCACTTCAGTTGAGTTCTTTCGTGTCTCCACCAGGAGGACATGGTTTCTTCCCACACAGATAACATGGGATGGTGAATCTTACTCATGAAAAACAGCTCACAGTACTGTTAATTTAGGAAGTTTTATTTACTGGAAAGTTTCTTTCAAGGGAACTTTTCTGCAAGACCAAGCAATTTATGTACTTTTCTTTGGTAAATTACATTGGCACAAAAAACACATGATGACTAATCTACTTTGCTCGAGGACAGTTAAAGAAAATGTGTTTTATCCTCACAAATCCAGTTAAGCCTTCATTTTATTTCTAAAAGTTTAAGGAAGGTCTAGTCTACCAGTTTTAAAAAGAAAACCAGTTAAATTATATAAACATTATTTTACATTAGTTTATAAAAATAGATTCGAGTTTAGGAAAAGTTGAACTAGTGATTTTTACGTCAGTTATTAGGTATAATGAATTCCTCGATTTTTCAAGGCTGACCCTGTTTCCTTGGTTAACAATGTCAAGTTAGGCCTTACAGGAAAAAAATGCAAGCGATCCTTTACTCTCCAAGTAAGTTACTTACTAAAAGAAGTTAAGTCTTGACACCACTGACAGCTTAAAAAGTAACATCCTAACCTTTCTGGAGATTCTGGTTGTCATAACCATGTTACTATATAGTCTGTTAGTTTGCACTATCAAAACTAATTGGTCTGGAGAAAACCTACCTGCAGCTGTCTGAGGCTGTTACTGGAGTAGCATATGTTAGCTGATTTAATATACTTGGAACCAACTGAAAAACTCATATAAAATGCTAAAAATCCAAATACAATCAAAGCAACTAAATAACAATAGGAAAAAAACTTTCTAAAGGGGGTATTGTTTTTTAAGTTTGCTATTTTGTTTTCATATTTGGGCAAAACTTTGTAGCATGGCGTTCCCTTATGCATGGTTCTAAAATGCACTGGGATAGAAGAAAATAAGGAAAATGGAGTATTTTGGTTTATTTTGCCCCCAAATGCTACATTCATTCCATTTAAAGAACTATTATTCTGAGATTGTCCTTTTATGAAAAAAAATGGTGACAATAACAGTGATTTATTCAGATTACTTGGCAATGTAAATTGGCAACCCTACAGTCCTCCAAATTTTTGGAAATACTACTACTGGTCCATAAAATACAAAAGTCTGGGAACCACTGCCATGTAAAAGTCTAGTTTTGCAGGCTGTTAACAAATGTTGAGTGGGAAAAAGTTTCTGTGGCCAAACGTCTGGAAAATGATAGTACAGAATTTCACGTAGTCATGTGAATCAATGGCAAGCAACACCTCCAGCCCCCAAAGTTGGACTACCGAATGCACTCAACCCACTGCTAACTGGAAAACATAAAAACCTGAAGCGCACAATTTCTCTGACTTTGAAATTGCAACAACCTTCTTCATCTCAGCATTTCAACAGTCTGGCCTAGGACTCAGCTGAAGCTAAGGAAATGGTATAATCAGCAACATGATCAATATTAAACTTTTAATATCAAATACTTTTTTTTTTTTTACATCATTACTAATTTATATAATTATAAAACAAACTTCAAAAGCTCCATGAAATCAGTAAGGTAAAAGTCCTTACTGAATATCATATAAACATCAGATGTTAACCAGGCTTGATTTAAGGAAACGTCATTGGTTTGTGATAGAAATTACCTATAAAACAATGGTATAAATGAATATCTGAACTTTACAATTATGTGGCTACAATTTGCCCATTGCTCTTCATAGGTATCAGATTTTTTTTTTTTTTTTTTTTTTTTTCAGATGGAGTTTCGCTCTTGTTACCCAGGCTGGAGTGCAATGGCACGATCTCGGCTCACCGCAACCTCCGCCTCCTGGGTTCAGGCAATTCTCCTGCCTCAGCCTCCTGAGTAGCTGGGATTACAGGCACACACCACCATGCCCAGCTAATTTTTTGTATTTTTAGTAGAGACAGGGTTTCACCTTGTTGACCAAGATGGTCTCAATCTCTTGACCTTGTGATCCACCCGCCTCGGCCTCCCAAAGTGCTGGGATTACAGGCTTGAGCCACCGCGCCCGGCCCCTAGGTATCAGATTTTTAAAGTTCATTTCCATTCACACATTTTTGCTGCTGAAGCCTCGTTCTTCTGAAAGACTCCAGCTGCTTTGCTCTCAGCCATCGTTCTCTTGACAGCGTTGTCTGACCAGCACTGAGAGACAGACACCTGGTTTGAAATACAAACAAATTTAAGTCTAGAACTGGGACAGTAAGTCTTACATTTTTTTAAGACCTAGGAATACTCTGTAAAATACAGACCACGTATGGGAGACAAGACCGTCTGGCAGTTACACACAAGTCAACAGCCAAGTTAGACTTCTACAAAGAAATCTTTGAAGAGTCAGAATTGGAGGGTGGCTCACTCTTTGAAGCTTAGAGAACAAGCAGCATGCCTGTTCCACTGAAGGGATCACCAGTCAAACTTGATTGCCCCTCAATGAGCCCTTTCATACAGCGTTTTTAAAAGGAAAAGTTCATTTCCGTTTTCAGAAGTCTGCCTCAGTTACTGCAGAATAACAGAAGATTTATACACACAAGCTCACCGAAAAAGCAACGATCGACATGCACCACTTACCGAGCCACCACGAGCAGCTGGTGAAGATCGTCAGCAGTGATGCTCTGAGGGTCGTTCTTTCGCATTTCCACAAAGTCATCTTCAACTGCCTTTATCAAAAGAGTAAATGTAAATGACATGCATTTTTGTAAGGAAGAGAAAATTAACATGGTTCCTTGACTGATGTAAAAATGAGGATGTCAACCTCTTAGACAAATAAAAAAAGTACCAAAGCATATACATAAATAATGCTGATGAAAAATAATGAAACTCAAGCTTCATTTAAGGTCAAGCAAACATAAATCGGCAACTGGCACAGGAAACAATGCTTTTCAACAAAGGGAAAAGTGATGTTAGTGAAAATGGCAGAGAAAGGACTGCAGAAAACTGTCTCTACTGTTAAGAACATCGATCAAAATCAACTTTTTTAAAACTCTGGAAATAAAACCACACTTGCAGCAATCCAGAGAACATTTATGCAAGAAAACCAGGTGACTACTGGCAAGAATGTTGAGCCCTGTTGCCATTTTAACATGTCCTATTCCTATATTCTACCCCCTTCCCCTCCAGGGGATACGAATAGCTTCAAAAACCAACAGCCTGGCAGCCACTGGAAAGAGAACAGGGCTAGAGCTCTTTCAAAATGCCATTCCCAGAGAACTGTCTTCTGACCACCTGCCTAGTGGCTCCCTGGAATAACCATTTACAAGGTTGTCTTCATGTAACCTGACTGGAAGCCTGTCTACTATGAACCACCTCTTTCCCCAGGGCATTTATCAAAAACAATCAGAAGAAATTGTCAATCACCTGGATAACAATTTAAGGCTAACCCAAACCCTTAGACGAAAAAGCTAGTTGGGAAATGAGATGTCTGCAGAGGGCTCTGAAAACCTCACATATGTAACTCCTAGGAACTTAGAAGGCTGCAGACATGTTCACAGACCTTAAACTCCCACCTCTGGATAACCTGGAGGCTCTGTGCAAGCAGGAAATGAAGACTAAGGCAGGCTTGTAAATTGTAAAAGGCTAAGTGTTGAAGGCTTGCCCCAGCTTTTATTTTTATTTATGATTATTATTCACCCTTAGACTGGGAGACCAACTGGGAGAAAGAAAATTTCCTGGCATTTAAGGAAATTTCTTTCCAATCATTAGCCACAAAACTAACGGCAAAGACTTCAGTGTCCACATGTGACAAAGATACAGACTTCATAGAATTAGTCAAAAAAGTTACTAAACAACCTACCAACAATAACAAATAGCAACATCATCAAATCCTAAGTAGGTTTAATTTACAGAGTCTGACTTCCAAAGCAGAGTTGCCATACTATATTATTCAAAATGTCTGGTTGTGGCTAGCGTGGTGGCTCACGCCTATGATCCCAGCACACTGGGAAGCCAAAGTGGGAGGACTACTTGAAGCCAGGAGTTGACCAGCCTGGGCAATAAAGCAAGACCTCATCTCTACAAAAAAACAAAACAAAACTTTAGTTGGGAATGGTGGCGCACACCTGCAATCCCAGCTACTGAGGCAAGAGGATCCCCTGAGCCCAGGAGTTCACTGCGACTGTGCTACTGTACTACTGCAGCCTGGGTGACAGAATGAGACCCCATCAATCAATCAAATAAAATGTCTGGTTTTCAACAAAAAAGTACGAAGAAACAAGAAGGTACAGCTCACACTCCTGGGGAAAAAGGGAGTCAGCAGAAACTGTCCCAGAGGAAACTCAAACATTAGACAGAAAGACTCTATACTGGCTATTTTAAGCATTCAAATAACTAAAGGAAACCACATATAAAGAACTTCAGGAAAATATGAGAATGATGTATCATCAAATAGAGAATATCAATAAAAAGAAATAATTTTTTATAAGCAGCAAAAATTCTGGAGTTGAAAAATATAGTAAAAATTATCTAGAGGTGTTCAGATTTGATCAGGCAGAAGACAATCACTAAACCCGAAGAAAGTTTTCACTAAGACGAGTGTAAGAAACAACAAAAGAATGAGGGAAAATGAACAGAGCCTTGAAGACCTGTGGGATACCATTAAATACAGCATCAGAAAGTGAGTATCAGAGGGAGAGGAGGTAGAAGTGAGGCAGAAAGAAACATGGCCAAAACCTCCCCAAATTTGTTGAAAATTTCCCCAAAATGTGAATTATTCTGCACCTCCAAGAAGCTCAACAAACTCCATGTAGGATAAACTCAGAGATCTACAAGTAGACACATCATAGTCAAAACTGTCAAAAGCCGAAGAATCTTGAAAGCAGTGAGAGAAAAATGACTTGGTGTGTACAAAGGATCCTCATCAGAAACTAGCTGGCTTCTCAGCAGAAACCAGAGGCCAGAAAGTGGTGGGAGGACTTATTTGAAATGAGACAAAGAGCGTAAGCCAAGAATTCTACATCCAGCAAGACTAGCCTCAAGGAGAAATTAAGATTCCCAGATAAACAAAAACTTAGAGAGCTGGGCATGGTGGCTCACACCTGTAATCCCAGAATTTTGGGAGGCCAAGGCGAGAGGATCACTTGAACCCAGGAGTTCGAAACTAGCCTGGGAAACATAGGGAGACTCCCTCCTCATCTCCACACACACACACACACACAAATTAGCTGCACACAATGGCACATGCTTGTGGTCCCAACCATTCAGGAGGCTGAAGTGGGAGGATCACTTGAGTCTAGCAGGATTGAGGCTGCAGTGAGCCACTCTAGCCTGGGTGACAAAGCGAGACCCTGTCTCAAAACAGCAACAAAAAGAATTTGCACACGTAGACCTGCCATGCAAGAAACACTAAAGGGAGTTCTTCATGCTGAAAAGATACTAGACAGTAACATGAATCCACATGTGGAAATAAAGGATGCTGGTAAAAGTGACTGCATAGGTAAATAGAAAACATAGTACAACAGTCTTTTCTGTTTACAACTTTTTCCCTCTAATTTAAAAGACAACTGCAAAAGCAGTAATTCTAAATGTGTTGATGGACATACAATGTATAGAGATGTAATTGTATGATGACAATAGCAGTACAAGAGAGAGGAGAAGGAACAAAATTAAAAAGAGGCAAAGTCTTTGTATAATATAATTAAACTGGTGTTACCCACACAAAAATTCTAATTAAAAATAACGAAACAAACTGGTATTAATCCTTAATCGATGACTATAGCTAGCATGTTACGTTTATCCTGCCAGGGCAACCACTAAGAAAGAAAGAAACTTCAAGGGATAAAATGGGACAATGGAAAACATCTATTTCAAACAAAAAGACAATAATGGAGTAATAGAGTAAAAAGAAAAAAGACAAGATAGAAAACAAAGAGCAAAACTACCTTATCAGTCATTATGGTAAATGTAAATTGGATGCATACTGCAATTCAACATAGGGAAATCCTTTATTTTAAACCAGACATACCTTGGTTATTTCATCAGATATGCTATAATCCAGGAATCTCAAAAGGGTTAGATAAATGCGGAATTTGTTCAACACGGAAGGCAGCACCGCTGAGAGAAGGCTGTTCATGTACTCATCCATGTTTGGTGGAATAAGCTGGGGCTGTAAGTGAATCTGGCAGTCTGCCTGAAAAGAGAAAGAGTACACTATTTTCTGAGTTCCTAATCTACATTTTTAAAGAAAGATGCATCATCTCTGTCAGCCCCTATGGGAATTAGAAAATACCATTTATTATTTAAGGAGAGGGAATAATATTGTTTTTTTTATATGTGCGTGAGACAGGTTTTGCTCTGTTGCCCAGGCTGCAGTGCAGTGGTGTGATCACAGCTCACTGCAACCTGCCTCCCAGGCTCAAGTGATCCTTCCACCTCACCCTCCTGATTAGTGGGACAATAGGCACACACCACCACACCTGGCTAATTTTTGTATTTTTTGTAGAGACAAGTTTCATCATGTTGCCCAGGCTGGCCTCAAAGTCGTGGGCTCACATGATCCATCTGCCTTGGCCTCCCAAAGTGCTGGGATTACAGGCATAACCCACTGCACCTGGTGAAAATCGATTTTTAATATTAGCTTACATGCTTTAGAACTATCTCAGCAATAATTATGAAAGTTAGCTTTTCCTTGGTTACTTATGTTTCCTCAATGGTATCAGTGAGCACACAAAAATATAGCCAATCTCTAAAAAAGCAGTTAATTAAAAAGGTTTGTCACACTTGCACACAGAAAACACAACCTTTAGCTGTTCCATTCTTAGTCAAAGGCTATTTCTCATCAATCGCAGGTGAATACTATTATACAGACTATGTACCACTTGACAACAGGGAGCATTTCCCATCATCTTTAGAATTAAAAGCTCTCTCTTTACAAGCCATTCTGAGGGCATACCAGAGCATTTCACTGTAAAGCATGAAAATAGCTACCAAGTGACCAAGGACATTTTAAAAGGAACTCTTAAGTATTTTTCACATCAGATTAGCAGAAAACAATGGGTCAAAGGCAGCAAGACAGAAGTTTAGATGTTAAAATCAGGCAATCTTTCTATACTCAGATGTGGGAGTTTCTGCTGCCAACAGCCTTTCTAGTCTTGTGACTTGCTGATATCTGAGCTTGATAGATGTAAGGTTTTCATCCCTGGCAGTGCAAAATACTCAATTCCCTTGATGACTGGCAGTCACAGTTTTTTACAACAAATTTAACTTATTAATAAGCAGTACCAAGACACTGCAAAAATATAGGTATTTTTCCAATGTCAACCTCCCTCCATTTAAAAATGACTCATCATACCGGGAGGAGTGACCTCCCCTCCGAAGTAATGAAAACGTTAATATTGCAGGGGAATTCCATCTGATGATAGCTGAAGTCATAATCCACCTTCTGCCATGTTATGAGGTTGCTCAGGGCAGTCACATTATGAACACCTACGAAAGCAAGAAAACATTTTCAGTCATTTGACTTTAATCATCTAAACAAATCAGTTTTGCTGACACTGATAATGAGCCATCAAGTTTCTACTGCTTGGGTATGAGGCACTGTCCAATTTACTAAGCTAAACGTCACTAAGTGTGTAAGCTTACAACAGTCTTAGTCAAAGTAGAACTTTCTGGGGCCAAGACCCCCTGCCACAAATCTAATACCTAGCATCTGGTATGCACCTAGACATAAAATAGTTCCCAAGTATGATTATTTCTAGGTGGTGTAGCCACAGGGCTAAAGGAAGGACTAAAACTATCTTCATATGTAGACCAGGCTAGTGAAATTTACTGAGTTTATATTCCCCTTTGTCTCAAAGGTGCCCAGTCTACCTCATTTTTTATTTCTACCTTTACCTCTTGAACTGATCACCAGCAGTATATTCTTAATTGTCTTCATTTGAGCACAGGTAAGTCTGCTTTCTTGTGATCTTATAATACGTTCCATAACTGAGGTTAGTTCAAACCATTTGATTTATCATTTTTCAGAGATTCTCTGAAAATCGTTTAAAAGCTTTAAAACTGGAGGTGAAAAATGTTTTATTAGATCTTTTCTACACTTCTCTTTTGAAGTACTAGATGACTAAAAGTAAAGCTTCCTCCCATTTCAGCATTCATTCGTTTGTTCATTTATTTATTTATTTTTCTGAGATGAAGTCTTGCTCTGTTGCCCAGGCTGGAGTGCACTGGCACGACCTCTGCTCACTGCAACCTCCACCTCCCAGGTTCAAGCAATTTTCCTGCCTCAGCCTCCCAAGTAGCTGGGATTAGAGGTGTGTGCCACATGTGTGGCTAATTTTTGTTTTGTTTTGTTTTAGTAGAAACAGGGTTTCACCATGTCGGCCAGGCTGGTCTAGAGCTCCTGACCTCATGATCTGCCTGCTTCAGCCTCCCAAACTGTTGGGATTACAGGCATGAGCCACTGTGCCTGGCCCCATTTCAGCTTTTAAAAAGCTATTTGGGGCAAGTGCAGTGGCTCATGCCTGTAATCCCGGCACTGTGGGAGGCCAAGGCAGGAGGATCGCTTGAGTCTAGGAATTCAAGATCATCTGGGCAACCTAGTGAAACCTTGTCTCTACTCCCCCACCAAAACAAACAAACAAACAAACAAAAAAACACAACTGTTCTACTGTACTATTTTCAGAATACTATGGCAAAACATAGTTGGTTTATACAATTTGGTTAGTTTTTAACATAAACTTTAATCAAAGTCACATGCCAAGCCTTTATCTTACATACTTGCTAAATGTGAATTTGTCTTTGTCCATACTCTTCAGAAAGTTACTCCTAGATCTCGCTTTAGCAGGAACGAAGTCAGAAATGGAAGGAAAATTTCTATGTACGTACCTGAGGTATCCAGCTGCCCCTGTTCTAGGAGAGTCTCATCGATTACAAGGGAAGTATTGCTGGGCAGCTGGAGGAGCCCACTGACCAGGCGATTGGCTGTGTAGTCTTTGTGGGGAATGAATTTCAAATGGTTCATGTTCTCTATAGTCATCTGCAGACGAAAAGACTGCAAAGAGAAATTTTTTAGTGAACAAGAATTTAAGTTTCCCTGTTTTAAGGAAATATGCACTTGGAGTTAAACACTGCTTCATATGGAAAAAGTGATCTTATCAGTTTTAATTTAACCAATGAAATAAATGGTAGATAACTGATGTACTAATATTAAATATCCCAAAGCCTAACTTCTTTCACCTAACATAAGCTAGCAAAAAGAAAATGTTAATTTTATTCTTCAAGATGGGGAGAGAAAAGTTTAATTTTCCTCTATATTCTTTGAGTTAAAATTACATTCATTCATCACAGACATTTTTGAACAAACTTTTCAGAGAAAAATCAAGGAGCAGAGCACACTGAGCTGTGGTGACATGCTGCAGCTCTCAGGACATGGCTCCCAGCCATGTGCACCTTATTCTTCAGTCTAATGAGTAAGCGGCCCATCTATGCTCCTCCTCCAGCTCCTGAGCCACCATTCTCAACACTCTGTGCTCTGCTTTATACACCAATCATTCTACCCCTCCAGCCTAAACAATGTGTGGCAGGGGTGGAGAAGAGGGTATGGTAGGGAAAGGCTGTCAAGGAAAAGGTAAGATATATTGCCAAAATTTAGAGGTGTTTTATACATTAGCTCAGTGAGTCTAAGAAAACAGGGAAGCGCCGGGCGTGGTGGCTCAAGCCTGTAATCCCAGCACTTTGGGAGGCCGAGGCGGGTGGATCACAAGGTCGAGAGATCGAGACCAACCTGGTCAACATGGTGAAACCCCGTCTCTACTAAAAATACAAAAAATTAGCTGGGCATGGTGGCGCGTGCCTGTAATCCTAGCTACTCAGGAGGCTGAGGCAGGAGAATTGCCTGAACCCAGGAGGCGGAGGTTGCGGTGAGCCGAGATCACGCCATTGTACTCCAGCCTGGGTAACAAAAGTGAAACTCCGTCTCAAAAAAAAAAAAGAAAACAGGGAAGCTTAGGGAAGCTTAAATGACCTACCATGGATTAATTTATTTGTTGGTCTTTTACCTAAACTCCGTAAGGGCAAAGGATCTGACTGTTTCAATAATTCTCAAAATGTGGTCCAGAGAATCCCCAGGGAATTGCTCAAACACTTTTATGGGGTCAATCAGGTCAAAACCATGCATGAAGAAAAGATCCTTTCAATGTGCGAGACGAAAGAATTTTATCTTAGCAGAGTATGGAAAGTTTACGAATAAGATTTCAGATTATCTATCTTTAAGAAAATGTCATGTGGATAGTTTTGGTCTACTATCAAAGACCACCACCAAGTTACCTACAAAGGCTACTGAAACCATCTTTATCAACTACCTTTCCAACTGTGTGAGGCCAGCTTTCCTTTATATACTTCAACCAAAACCTCAGATTACAACAGACTGAAGACAGAAGCAGATACTAGCATCTGTTGTCTCCTATTAATCCAGACATTAAAGAGACTTGCAAAAATGTAAAACAATGTTGCTTTTATCACTAATCATTTTTGACTTGTGAAAAGTTGTTTTTATAAAAATATTTGTCTATATGTAGTTTTTTATTTTTAATAAATGTATTTGCTTTACCTTTTAATTTGGTAAATTAATGATAAACATAACATGAAAAACGTGAAAAACAGCACTTTGAGTACTAGTAAGTTTTTCAGAGTGTAAAGTGAGTCTAAAGAGACTATGAGAAATGCTGGTGTATTCTGGTCCAGTTCTGCTTCTTGAGGGCCTGGACGAGTACTAGCACTGAGACACTCAATACATGTGGTTCAATAAGGATCTAGTGCAACCTCTTCAATTTCCAAAGAAGGGATCACTATTTTCAGTCACACAACTAATGAGAAGCAACTCCCTGTTCCCAAGATCCTAGCACCACACAAATACTGCAATCCAGATACCCTGGCAAATAAAGTGAGCTCAACTTTCCAAACAGGAATTAAAATTGGGGCAATGAAGATAAAGAACTTTATTACCTCAACTAAAAGAATTATGCTCCTATAATTTAGAGTTCATTTAGGTTTAAGATTTTAGTGTGCAAAAAGGATACCAAATTGCACAAACAAATTGGTATCAACAGAGTATAATTTTAAGGGAGTTACTGCAACTGTATTAATTGTTAAGACTTACAGAAATTTGTGCTTAGACAAAAAGAAAAAAAAAAAAGGTGAAACATTTAGGGGAAAGTACATTTTAAATTATGTAATGTGGCAGGCTTTGTTTCCCCTTAAATAAGATCTATTAAAATCTCTAAGTTAAATATTCGGGTTGAATGAAAGATAGATGGATCTGTTAAGTGTGCTTAGGTTTATAATACGTATTTATATTCATCTTACTGCTGGAACAAGATGTTGAATAATTCGATATAAGTGTTCTGTGAAGGTACTATTCCGTGGGCAACCACTCAAGTTAACTGTAAATTTTCCTAGTGGAAGAACGTCTCTTCTTGTATATCTAGAAAAGAAAGAAATCAATCAATAAGATGCTGAAGTGATTTCCTGATTTCTATAGAAAAGTAAAGAACAGAAAAATTAGCTTAATGTTGTTATTAAATATAAACCAGAATACTCTGCTTCATCAGTTATTATATCAGAGTAACAGCAATAAAATAAAAGTAATAGCCAATGTTTGGACACAAGTGCTGCTGATCACGTGCCAAAGACTGTTCTGAGTATGTAAATGCTTCCTTATTTAACCTCGAAACATTCGGAGGCAGGTACTGTTGTCTTTGCTTTACAGATGAGAAATCTGAGGCACAGAGATGATAATAAGCAACATGTTCATCTAGCCAGAAGCTGATAGAGCTGGGATATGAATCCAGGTAGTTTGGTTCCAGAGTCTGTGCTCTAAACCATTATGTATTACTGTCACAGATTGATCTGAGAAAAGATAAGATTTACAGCACAAAGATGTTTAGTGCAACTTTATAATAGAGAAAAGCTAGGAAAACCTAACATTTAGGGAAACTGTTACAGTATGGTACAACTGTACAGTGAAATAGTTTGCAGCCAATACAAAGGTCATGAAGCGTTATGATGGGAAAATGTTTAATATGTATCAATTGCTAAAAACAAGACACAGATCTGTGCTTAGAATATAACTAAGATCTATGCAGGGATGTATACATATGTAAACAAAAATCAATGAACGTGTACCAAAATGTTAATGGAGGTTCTAAGTGATGAAATCACAGATGATGTGCATTTCCTTCTTTATGTTCTTGTAACTTGTCAAAGGCCCACATTAGTTTTAAAATCAGAAAACTAAGAAACACAGTGGAATCAAGGGATGTGGTGCTAGTGTCACTGTCCACGCTAAATGTGTACATGATGTGGGGGCCTTGGGACATATAAACAGAGCGTTCAGAATGCAAAAGGGATAAAGTAGCTCATTTTACTCATCAGCCAGGTCCTCCTTTACCTCAGGCATCCCCAAGCCCCAGGCCGTGGACCGGTACTGGTCATGGCCTGTTAAGAACCAGGTCACAAAGCAGGAGGTGGAGCAAGCATTACCACCCCAGCTCCACCTACTGTCAGATCAGCAGTGGCATCAGACTCTCACAGGAGTCTGAATCCTATTGTGAGCTGCGCATTTGTGTGCTCCTCATGAGAATCTAACACCTAATGATCTGAGGTGGAACAATTTCATCCTGTACCCATCCCCACTCTGGTCCATGGAAAAATGTTCTTTTCATGAAATGGGTCCTTGGGTGCCAAAAAGGTTGGCAACCAATGCTTAATCTGATTTTGGCTCTAAAAGTTAAGGGGACATAATCAAAATGCTAAATGTGAAACTGTGAGAAAAGGAATTTGTTTGTGATTTGGTATAACACTTGTTACACTGAACAGATAAAAACTATTTGACGAAGCCTAATAATGAACACACACACAAATTACACCAGCAATCTTCCTGCTCTTCCACTTTCTACACAGACCAAACTCCCTTAATTCCCACCAGGATACAGCACTTACACTGTGGAGATGAGATGTAATATAAGGTATTCGGCAGCCAAACTATCCCCCAGAAGAGCATGAGTGAGGAACCCAAGAAGTTCTGCTCTGACTGGAGACAATTCGGACATGAAACTTGAAACAACTAGAGGAGAAAGGGAGACCAGAGTCAGGACCACACACCAATCCTAAGTGTCTTAGGTAAAAAATAACTACGTGAACAAAGCACTACAATTCAAAAGACAGCTAGTAAAACTGAACACATCCATCCATAAGTGATACTGATTTTAAAAATATGACAGTTTGGCCGGGCGCGGTGGCTCAAGCCTGTAATCCCAGCACTTTGGGAGGCCGAGGCGGGTGGATCACGAGGTCAAGAGATTGAGACCATCCTGGTCAACATGGTGAAACCCCGTCTCTACCAAAAATACAAAAAATTAGCTGGGCATGGTGGTGCGTGCCTGTAATCCCAGCTACTCAGGAGGCTGAGGCAGGAGAATTGCCTGAACCCAGGAGGCAGAGGTTGCGGTGAGCCGAGATCGCGCCATTGCACTCCAGCCTGGGTAACAAGAGCGAAACTCCCTCTCATTTAAAAAAAAAAAAAAAAAAAAAAGACAGTTTGTATACTCCTTTTTTTTTTTTTTTTTTTTTTTTTTTGAGATGGAATTTTGCTTTTTCCCCCGGCTGGACTGCAATGATGTGATATGGGCTCACTGTAACCTCTGCCTCCCGAGTTAAAGTGATTCTCCTGCCTCAGCCTCCCAAGTAGCTGGGATTACAGCCACAGATCACCACACCTAGCTAATTTTGTATTTTTAGTAGATATAAGGTTTTACCACGTTGGCCAGGCTGGTCTCAAAATCCTGACCTCAAATGATCCACCTGCCTCAGCCTCCCAAAGTGCTGAGATTACAGCAGTGAGCCACTGTGCCTGGCCTTGTATACTCCTTTTTTGTCCTCATTTCAATAAAAAGAATTAATGTAAGAGAAAAATGGGGCAATGAGAGAGAGATTACTAAAAACACTTATTGTGATGAATGAGGACCTGATTCCTCTATGAGCATGTTACAGGCAGCTCTGGACATACACTGAGGCTAACAGTCAATAGTTCACTAGGCTGTAACACTTAGACTTACAGGTTTTGCTCTCCTCTTTGTTAAGGCAGGCAGGCAATAATGGGTTGATGTGCTGCAACTTCTGGGCTAAAATCACATGAATTCTCGGCACTAATGAAGCAGGAGGACTGTGTACTCTCTGCTCCTCTGCTGTGTCTGTGCACTCCATTGGATCCAGCACTGCAGAAGCATCCCTGTGGAGAGACGAAGTTTCAATTTAGAGATACATCAATTGCACAGATGCAAAAATAATATGCATCTTGGAAAACAAAATTAGAATTAAAGCCAAGAGTATTTCTACCTGTACATCTCCTTAGAGAACAGAAAGTGGCCTTTCATTCTAAAGTGTTACATCACACAGACTTCAGGCTTGTTAAGACATATCATGAAATATGCATTTATTCCATTTCCCAGTAACTTTTTTTTTTTTGGCGGGTGGGATGGAGTCTTACTGTGTTGCCCAGGCTGGAGTGCAGTGGCACAATCTTAGCTCACTGCAACCTCTGCCTCCTGGGTTCAAGTGATTCTTGTGCCTCAGCCTTCTGAGTAGCTAAGATTAGCTACTCGTTTTATACAAGCAGTGAATGTTTTAGACTTTAGCGAATGCTTTAGACAAGTAGACAACAGGTGCACACCACCACACTTGGCTAATTTTTGTATTTTTATAGGGACGGAGTTTCGCTATGCTATGTTGGCCAAGTTGGTCTCAAACTCCTGACCTCAAGTGAACCACCTCCCTCAACCTCTCAAAGTGCTGGGATTACAGGTGTAAGCCACCAGGCCCAGCCAAGAACAGTAGTATTTTTTATAAGCACTGCAATAAACAGAATATAGGATATCACTCATTACGTTATTTCAAAACACAGGTACTCCTTAACTATCTATTGAGACATCAAAAACTTGACAGCACATCTCAAAATCTGGGGTCTTTTTCTTGAAAGTCATCCAGTATCTATATTATTCAGTGTGTGGAGAATCCATTCATTTCCTATCTTGCTAATTGTTTTCCCTAAATTTTATTCTTACATAAACCCCCAAATACTGAGTAGACAAACAATGAAAGTATAAATTTTTCAGATTTGCTAAATTAATTTGCAGATGATAGATTTGTGAGATGACTGAAATAAATGACTATTTTTAGATCTTGACTTTATAGACTCTATAGACACCGAAGTAATTTACTTATGTGTAAATTCATACTCCTATTTTTTAATACAAGCATAATAACCTTTTCCACAGTATGTACCATGTAACAGACAATGTTCAATGCTTTACACGTATGAATTCACCAAAACCTCATATCTACCTTATTTACAAGGAAACCAAGCCTAAAGTCACACAGGTAGTAAGTGGCCAAGTCAGGACTCCAACCCAGGCTGTCTGCTCGTCTAAGCTTTTATCCTCCATGGTTGATACTGAATGTCAACTTGACTGGATTGAAGGATGCAAAGTATTGTTCCTGGGTGTGTCCGTGAGGGTGCTGCCAAAGGAGATTAATGTTTGAGGCAGTGGACTGGGAGAGGCAGACCCACCCTCAGTCTGGGTAGGAACCATCTAATTAGCTGCCAGCGTAAAGGCAGGTATGCAAAGAGCAGATTGGCTGAGTCTTCTGGCCTCCATCTTTCTCCCATGATGGATGCTTCCTGTCCTTGAACATCAGACTCCAAATTCTTCAGTTTTTGGACTCTTGGACTTGCACCAGTGGTTTGCCAGGGGCTCTCAGGCCTTCAGCCACAGACCGAAGGCTGTCCTATCAGCTTCCCTACTTTTGAGGTTTTGGGACTCAGACTGGCTTCCTTCCTCCTCAGCTTGCAGATGGCCTATTGCGTGATTTTACCTGTGACTGTGTGAGTCAATTCTTCTAATAAACTCCCCTTCATATATTCATCCATCATATTAGTTCTGACCCTTTAGAGAACCCTGACTAATACAACTTCTAAACTAAACTACATCAATAGGGAAATAACTAAACAGGAAAGTCATCATAACCAGAAATTGCCAAGATAAACAATTTCATATACTATTAAGGGATTGTTAAGCTTATTTAAAATTGTTTAAAATTTCTGTTTTGTACCTTTCTTTTTTTAACTGTGAAAAATGTTAAATTCATCCTTCACAGAAACCAAGACAATGAATGTCCAGTCTTCAACAAGAGGACTCTGGTGGACAGACATCAGCCCTTGCTTTTGGCATTCTCAAAGCAAAACAACAAGGAAGATCTAGATTTCCAACATATGTTAATAAAAAAATTAAAAAGTGTAAAAGATTACATACACTATATGCTACCTTTTATAGAAGAAAAGGTAAACATAAAATATATATGTATCTACTTATTTTTTACAAAAAAGAAATCCAGGAAGGATAAACCAGAAACTATGGTTCCCTAAGGAGGCTGTTTGGGAACAGACAGCAGGAATGGGGATAGCTGAGAATGACATCTCTGAGTATCATTTTGTAGTTTGAATTTGGCAACAATTTTGATGTTTCCTTTATTAAAAACAAAAAACCAGTAAGAGTGGAGAAAAAAACCGAAGTGAAACATAATCAGACATAAATGAATCTAAGTAAAATAATGAAATTACACTGAATGGGAAGAAGTTACTTGAGTAACTGGAAGACAGCTCTGGCTACACAGCTGCATTCTAAAATAAAACTGAACTGGAAACGTGTATTGAACACTAATTACTAGGTTTATGTTTTGTAGTGGTATGGCTTACCAATTCTGAAATTCCCTTCTGTATATGATAGAAATGGGCAAATGACAGATTGTGAATAACGGGAATCAAATCTGTTAGAAAAGGAAGCCATAAATATAGAGAGGAGAACAACTAGAACACATGACACCTGTTGTGCTGAACTGGAATCAGAAATATTGTTTTTCATAGACTTTAGAAACATACAAAACATATGTATGTGTGAGTACATATGTGTGCATTTAAATGTGTATGCATATATATGTACACATATGTTGCATGTATGCTGTAAGGGCCTAGATGCAAAGCTAACCCAGTACCAACAAGCACATCTAGAGCTCAGATCTTCAAAGTATATGAAGAAGCTGCAACAGCTTAATAGGCCAGTGCTTGCCTACAGTCCCAGCTACTAAGGAGGCTGAGGCAGGATAACCTCTTGAACCTGGGAGGCAGAGGTTGCAGCGAACCGAGATTGCGCCACTGCACTCCAGCCTGGGTGACAGAGCAAGACTCCACCATCTCAAAAACAAACAAACAAATAAACAAACAAAAATGGTAAGATCATCTCACAAAAAGGACCCACCATCTGCTTAAAGTGGCTACCGCTAGCCAAATCTAGAAAAAGTTGGGTCTCAAAATAATGACATTATTAACATTGAATAAAATCAGAATTAGTCCATACTAAATATAAGTAAACAAATTACTTGAATGACAAAATGGAAGAGACATCTCTTTTATAGTAGAATGCTAATAAATAAAAGTAGAAGGAATGACTGAGTTAGATAATTGCCAACAAATAATTGATTCAAGCAAGAACCATCAATGGATGCTAAAATAAATTGGTGAAAGTTTAATGAGAAACTGGATTATTCATGTCCCAAAGTATCTTCCTCCAAGTTATTTGTCAATTACAGAGACAAATGGAACTTTATAGAAGAGAGACATCTTCAAGACACCACCTTAACCAACTAATGAAAATTAACCTCACCAGTAATGGGACAAACTGACATCGAATGCCTCCTGCTAACTACTGAGGATACATCACTTCTGCAGTACCTGCTAAAAACACATAACATTGAGTCTAACCCAAGTAACTGGTAACTGGCTTACACGCTTCAAAAGCATCAAGGCTCTCTGCTCTCTACCATGTGAGAAGACAGCCATTTGCAAACCAGGAAGTGGGCCGTCACTAGACACCACATCTGCTGGTAACCTTGATTCTGGACTTCCCAACCTCCAGAACTACTGCAAGACATACATTTCTGTTGTTTAAGAAAAAAAAAAGGTAGCAAGGCCATTTAAAAAAACAAAAAACAGAAAAACAAAACAAAACAAAAAACAGAAAAACAAAATGCAGAAAGGCTGAGGACTGTTTCAGATTGAACTCCAGTTACTTAGGTTTATGTTTTATAGTAGTATAAGTTAACGATTCTGAAATTTCCTTATGTTGTAAAAATGTGCAAATGATAAATTGTGAAAACTGGGAATCAAGTTTAAGAGAGTTACACTAACATAGAAAGGAGAGTAAGTAGAACAACACCTGTGGTGCTGAACTGGAATCAGAAATACAGTACAAACTCAGTAGAAATAGAGAATGAGCCATCTTCTGAACCCTGGAACAGCGGGTGTGGAAGGGAGTAGTGTGAGAAAGAACATGATTTAAGACAATCAGTGAAATTAAGTACAGATTGTGGATTAGCATATTGTGTATTTGTGGTAAATTTCCTAGTTTTGATATCTGTACTCTGATTAAATATGAGAAAAGTGCTCTTAGGAAACGTTAACAAGTAGTCAGAGGTAAAAGGGTTTGATTTCTGCAACACATTTTCAAGTGTTTCAGAAAAATGTGTGCATAGAGAGCACAAATAAATGACAAAGCACATGGGGCATAAACGTTTACATCTGGGAAAAACGGAAAAGGGAGTTCTTTATAACCATCCTGTAAATTTTCTGAAAGCTCAAAATTTTATCAAAATAAAGGAGACCAAAAAAAGAGCACACAGACTCACCTTTCATCATTATTCAGTATACTCAGCACAGGATCCACAGACAGTATGCCATATAGCTCAAGAATGTCATTTACTTTGAAACATTCCCAATCTTCATAAATCTAACAAAAGACCACATGGAATCATACTGTTAGAAGAGGCATAAAGCCTAAGATATTAATCTTGAAGTACTAATATCTTAGAATTTTAGATCAGGAAATGGACTTTAATGTAAGTCCTTTATTTTATAAATTGAGACCAAGAGTCATTCTGCTAGTTAGCAAATAAGTTAAAAACTAAAACATAGGATGCCTAACTTCCAGACTAATGTCTGTTTTCAATATACCACACTACTTCCAACAAAAAGGCTTTTCCTAAAATTTTTTTAAAAAAAGGTTTTTCCAAAGGCTAACAGTTAAAACCAGATATGTGCACTATCTCAAAACCTATTAACCATACCAAGAAAAGGAAAAAACAAAAACAAGACAATTAACTTTGTGTTTATTCATAAACTATGCAACATTAGAAGGATTAACACAAAACTTGGAATGACCACAAGATTTCTCACAATTTAAAAAAAAAAAAACTTCCAAATTGACTATCATGATGGATTTCAACAGTGGTCAAGGCCACTTACTGATGAGACCTGGTAGAAGCATAGCAGGGGGAAGAATGGTTATTCTGGCCCCTGTGCCATATGACTGAAGTACCATTTTAGTTAAAACCACTGAGAATCTGGGTGTGGTGGCTCACGCCTGAAACCCCAGCACTTTGGGAGGCAGAGTCAGGCAAATCATTTGAGGTCAGGAGTTCAAGACCACCCTGGCCAACATAGTGAAACCCCATCTCTATGAAAAATACAAAAAACTAGCTGGGTGCGGTGGTGCATGCCTGTATCCCCAGCTACTCAGGAGGCTGAAGCATGAGAACTGCCTGAACCCAGGAGGAGGAGGTTGCAGTCAGCCGAGATCATGCCACTGCACACTAGCCTGGACAACAGAGTAAGACTGTCTCAAAAAAACCAAACCAAAACAAAACAAAAACAAAAAACAACAACAAAAAAATGCACAAAGGATGAAAATCCTTAACAATAATTTTTGAACCTTCTAATATTTGCTCATTTATCAGGATCAAAACACTACAATAAGATGGAAGAAAAAACTATTAGCAATTTTCTTCCTTCTGTTTTATTTTAAATACAAGTGAGAAATAGGTTTTGGGGAGAGAAGGAAGACGACAAAAATGAAGACAATACTATGTTAGAAATGATACAAGAAGGGAACAGACATAATGTAAACGTTGTTCTGCTTCTGCATTTGAAATATTTTGATTATTTTAACTTGTGAATAGGTTAGCTTACATGCAAAAGGAATGTGCAGGTGTGATTAAATTAAGGACTCTGAAATGGGGGGATTATCCTCAATTAACTGGGTGGGTCCCATGTAATCACACAGATTCTTAAAATTGGGAAACGTTTCCTGGTTGTGGTCAGATAAGATGTCAGCAAGAAAAAAATGGTCAGACAAATGCAATGTTGCCGGCTATGAATATGGAAGAGGGAGCCACTAGCCAAGGAAATTCTCCCTTAGTAGCTCCAAAAAAAGGAATATAGCCCTGTTGGCACCTTAAGTTTACTCCAGTGAGACCATGTTGGATTTCTGACCTACAGCCTGTAAGATGATAAATTTTTGCTGCTTTAGGCTATTAAATTTGCAGTGATTTGCGATTATCTAGCCCAGGACAAGAAAGCTAATGAAAATGCTCAAATACTAAGCCAGTTTCTGAGACATATAACATGTCAATGTCAGACCTATAAAAGGTTTTATTACCTTCACAAGGCATGCAGGGCCCTTTTCTCCCGGCAATGGAAAATTCAAATCAAAAGGAGAAGAGAAGTTCAGAGAGTTCATCTGTTGCCCAGCAGAAGCTTCGGTTTCTAAACGTTTTGGCTCTCCACACCACTGAAGACCACCAACACTCCCTAAATTTAAAGGATAGTATTGCACTTAGTCTTTTCTAAGGCCTTCTGGAGAAAGGGACCATTCCATAAGCGCCTTCCAAGTTTGACATACATGATGCTTCTGAGCTTGCAAAGTTCAAGTTGTTACAGTTTTTAAGGAAAACAGCACATACTAACAAAGTCTTTTGTTTGATCAATAAGAGAACAAAGATTAATGTGAAGATCTAAAAATTTTACTTTTTTCCCTTATTCTAAGATGTCAACAAATTCCTCCCATCAAATCTCATGTATAATCACTTTCAAAAGTTGATTTGCAATCTGGTTACTTTGACATCTTTGATTTAAGAAACACATGGTCGGCCGGGCGCGGTGGCTCACGCCTGTAATCCCAGCACTTTGGGAGGCCGAAGTAGGTGGATCACGAGGTCAAGAGATCAAGACCATCCTGGCCAACATGGTGAAACCCTGTCTCTACTAAAAATACAAAAAATTAGCTGAGCATGGTGGCACATGCCTGTAATCCCAGCTGCTTGGGAGGCTGAGGCAGGAGAATCGCTTGAACCCAGGAGGAGGTGGAGGTTTCGGTAAGCTGAGAATGCGCCACTGCACTCCAGCCTGGGCAACAAGAGCGAAACTCCAGCTCAAAAAAAAAAAAAACACATGGTCTACCCACAGCAAAACTCCTTGGTAGAATGTACTTTTTCTACTAATTAAGCAGAATAAAACCATACAGCAATCGATTAATTTACTGAATGCTTCTTAATATCCAGTATGTACTAGGAATCAAACTAGTTGTTGGGGATATACAGGTCATTAAAAGAGTAACTCCAGCCGGGTGCGATGGCTCATGCCTGTAATCTTAGCACTTTGGGAGGCTGAGGTGGGTGGATCACCTGAGGTCAGGAGTTCAAGACCTGCCTGGCCATCATGGTGAAACCCCATCTTTAAATAAATAAATAAATAAATAAATAAAAGAGTAACTCCAACTCCTGAAGTAGTTAGGGCTGATAACAAGGTAATCATATTATGCCATATCATGAACTACTACTCAGCAATAAAAGGGACAAACTGGCCGGGCGCGGTGGCTCAAGCCTGTAATCCCAGCACTTTGGGAGGCCGAGGCGGGTGGATCACGAGGTCAAGAGATTGAGACCATCCTGGTCAACATGGTGAAACCCCGTCTCTACTAAAAAACAAAAAATTGGCCAGGTGTGGTGGCTCAAGTCTGTAATCCCAGCACTTTGGGAGGCCGAGGCAGGTGGATCACGAGGTCAAGAGATCGAGACCATCCTGGTCAACATGGTGAAACCCCGTCTCTACTAAAAAAATACAAAAAATTAGCTGGGCATTGTGGCGCGTGCCTGTAATCCCAGTTACTCAGGAGGCTGAGGCAGGAGAATTGCCTGAACCCAGGAGGCGGAGGTTGCGGTGAGCCGAGATCGCGCCATTGCACTCCAGCCTGGGTAACAAGAGCGAAACTCAACCTCAAAAAAAAAGAAAAATTAGCTGGGCATGGTGGCTCGTGCCTATAATCCCAGCTACTCAGGAGGCAGAGGCAGGAGAATTGCCTGAACCCAGGAGGCGGAGGTTGCGGTGAGCCGAGATCGCGCCATTGCACTCCAGCCTGGGTAACAAGAGCGAAACTCCGTCTCAAAAAAAAAAAAAAAAAAAAAAGGACAACTACCGACACATGCAATATGCAATAACCGGGACAGATCTTAAAGGAACTGTGCTGAAGAAAAGCCAATCCCCAATATTTACATAATATACAATTTCATTTGTATAACATTCTTTTTTTTTTTTTTTTTTTTTTTTTAAGATGGAGTCTTGCTCTGTCACCCACTTTGGAGGGCAATGGCGTGATCTCAGTTCACTGCAACCTCTGCTTCCCAGGTTCAAGTGATTCTCCTGCCTCAAGTGACTCTCGTGAGTAGCAGGGATTACAGGTGCCTGCCACCACACCAGCTAACATTTGTATTTTTAATAGAGATGGGTTTCACCATGTTGGTCAGGCTGGTCTCAAACTCCCGACCTTGTGATCTGCCCACGTAGGCCTCCCAAAGTCCTGGCATGAGCCACTGTGCCCAGCCATGTAACATTCTTATAATGACAAAATTTAAAGAGATAGAGAAAAGACCAGCGGTTGCCAGAGGCTAGAGACTTGGGGGGAGGGAAGAGGCAGGAGAGTGGTAGTTATGAGCATAGAAGGGCAACATGAGAGATCTAGGTAATAAAATACTCCTGATCTTAACTGTGGTGGTCATATGAATCTACACATGTGAAAAAACTGCAAAGAATGAAATATTCACAAATAAGTACATGTAAAAATAAGATTATATTGGCCAGGCAAGGTGGTTCACACCTGTAATCCCAGCACTTTGGGAGGTCAAGGTGGGCAGATCACAAGCTCAGGAGAACAAGAACATCTTGGCCAACATGGTTAAACGCCACCTCTAATAAAAATAAAAAATTAGCCAGACATGGTGGCACACACCTGTAGTCCTAGCTGCTCTGGAAGCTGAGGTAGAATTGCTTGAACCCAGGAGGCAGAGGTTGCAGTGAGCTGAAATCACACCACCGCACTCCAGCCTGGGTGACAAGAGTGAAACTCCGTCTCAAAAACAAACAAACAAAAAAAGTGATTGTATCAATGTCCATTTCCTGGTTATGATATTCTACTACAATTATGTAAGGTGTTACCACTGGGGGAAGGAGGCAAAAGGTATACAAGATCTTTCTGTATTATGTTCCTTTTTTTTTCCCTTCCATATTGAGTCTTGCTCTGTCACCCAGACTACGGTGCAGTGGCGCAATCTTGGCTCACTGCAACTTCTGCCTCCCAGGTTCAAGAGATTCTCCTGCCTCAGCCTCCCTCCCGAGTAGCTGGAATTACAAGTGTGTTCAACTGTGTCTGGCTAATTTTTTGTATTTTTAGTAGAGACAGTGTTTCACCATGTTGGCCAGGCTGGTCTTGAACTCCTGACCTCATGATCCGCCTGCCTTGGCCTCCCAAAGTGCTGGGATGACAGGTGTGAGCCACCCCACCTGGCCCTATTTCTTTCTTTTTTTGAGACAGAGTCTTGCTCTGTCACCCAGACCGGAGTGTGGTGGCGCGATCATGGCTCAATGCAACTTTTGCCTCCTGGGTTCAAGCAATTGTCCTGCCTCAGCCTCTCAAATAGTTGGGACTACAGGCGTGCACCACCACACTCAGCTAATATTTGTTTTTAATAAAAGACAGGGTTTCACCATGTTGGCCTGGTTGGTTTCGAACTCCGGACCTCAAATGATCTGCCTGCCTTGGCCTCCCAAAGGGCTGGATTACGGGTGTGAGGTACCATGCCCATCCTCTCTGTATTATTTCTTACACAGAGTAAATATAATTCATTAGTAAATCCCTGTTTACCAATCAATGTTAATCTGCCTTCTCAAACCAATCCTGCAAATAGTAAATGACCCCAGATTGATTTGTTTTGCCTCCTTGTCCTTTAATTTTCCTTTTGATTAAAGGTGCTAAAGGAAGGTGACTAGCACATAAAAGGAAAAATAAAGACAAACTTATATACCTGCCATAACAAAGAAATTCACTGCTTATAAAAGCTATGACTGGTTAGGCATGGTGGCTCACACCTGTAATGTCAGTGCTTTGGGAGGCTGATATGAAAGGATCACTTGAGCGCAGGAGTTTGAGACCAGCGTGGGGAACACAGTGAGATCTCATCCTACACAAAATTTAAAAAGTTAGCTGAGTTTGGTAGCATGCGCCTATAGCCCTAGCTACTAGGCAGATTCAAATGAGAGATCACTTGAGCCCAGGAGGTCAAGGCTACAGTGAAGCATGATCATGCCACTATACTCCAGTCTGGGTGATAAAGCAAGATCTTATCTCTAAAAGAAAACCAAAAAACTGTTATTGAAATCAATAATGATATGTAGTAATTCTGAGTTTCTCTCATGCTCTTATTAAGTAGAAAGTTCAAACTTTTGGTCTCTTTGTTTCAACCAGAAGTAGATGTATTTTGAGCACGTTTTTTAAATACTTTGGGAGGCCGAGGTGGGTGGATTACTTGACCTCAGGAGTTTGAGACCAGCCTGGACAACATGGCAAAACCCTGTCTCTACAAAAAAACCCCACAAAAATTAGCAAGGCATGGTACACCTGAGCCTGGGAGGTAAAGGTTCCAGTGAACCAAGACTGCGCCACTGCACTCCAGCATGGGTGACAGGAGTGAAACAAAAAATAAATAAATAAAAAATAAAATGAGAAAGCATGTTTTCAGATAAAAACAAGTCATTTTTAGGGTAAAGCACCAGGCTTCCATATTATTTAAGAATTGGGAAAAAAAAGAAACATGTAGAAAAGACCTTTCCATTTAGTCAGTTGAGACTCCAAAAACATACATGAGAGCAGCCACTTGTCCCGAAGTGATGCCTAACTGCTCAGCTGTGAAGCACAGTCTAACCAAAGAGTACTGTAAGAACTCAACACCGTCTGTAACTCTTGACAGACTTGAAGGTTGCCACATCATCGCCAACTCCTAAATGTAGAGCTGTATTATATAATGATTAACTCTGAAAATTAATCTACTGTAAGAGAGCAAAGTCTACGAGAAACCTGTTGACACACTACCTGCTTGTCTGGCACCTGCATGTTGGTCTTTCTGTTTATTGGGCTGTAGGTCCATATCGTCATCATCTTCATAACTCCTCTTGTGGCGACTAGGAGTGTAGGATGTTGAGGGACTGACTCGAGCTTGGTTTGCATTAACACAGGCGTTAAACGAAAAGTTAAGAAAAGACCACCATAAACTGAAGAATATTCTAAATGTTATGCTAATGATATGACTTATAAAAAATTACTAGTTTGGCAATTCAGTTAAAGTGGAAATGCATTTTTTTTTTTTTTTTTTTTTGAGACAGAGTTTCGCTCTTGTTACCCAGGCTGGAGTGCAATGGCACGATCTCGGCTCACCGCAACCTCCGCCTCCTGGGTTCAGGCAATTCTCCTGCCTCAGCCTCCTGAGTAGCTGGGATTACAGGCATGTGCCACCATGCCCAGCTAATTTTTTGTATTTTTAGTAGAGACCGGGTTTCACCATATTGACCAGGATGGTCTTGATCTCTTGACCTTGTGATCCACCCGCCTCGGCCTCCCAAAGTGCTGGGATTACAGGCTTGAGCCATCGCGCCCAGCCGGAAATGCATTTTTAAAAGGAGACCAGACTTCCAGTTTTGGTCATGAGAGTAACCTTATGCCCCTATCCTTGCTGTGAACAACAACGTAACTGGACAAAATACGTGAAACAACTCTTTTCACTCACTGGATAACAGGGAGCATAGGCTATGATCCTTGAATGAAGAGAAACACAGCAGGTAAACATCAAATTCTCCCAGCTCTCTCCTGGAGACATTCTCCAAACTGTAACAAAGAGCAGTAGAGACTCTGCTCTTACTGGGTGGAGAAGACAGAGCACATGGTTCAGGGCTACTGAAAGCAACTGGAATTTGCAGAGAAGGACTAGAAAGGAAGTAGTTATGGATAAAAGACCCAAAAGGTTTCATTTGGAACTCTGACAAGACACTAAGCTGTGCCTATACAAGTCAAGATTCCCTGAGGCCTAGCAGAGAACAGCTGCTAGTTGGCAGAGATTTTAAATGGAGACTCTGAAAGTAGTGTAATACTAGAATGGACCCTGCTAGTCACCCCAGGCATTTAGGTGAGACCTAGAAACAGCACACCTCATGAATAAGGACAATCTACTGCACAGCAAGGGCTGTGCTATACCACCCCTAACAAATCCCAGGTGGGTGTGGTAGCTAACTCTGTGAACCCAGCACTTTGGGAGGCTGAGGTGGGAGGATTGCTCAGCCCAGGAGGTTGAGAGTAGCCTAGGCAACATAGCAACATAGTGAGATCTTTTCTTTTTTTTTTTTTTTTTGGAGACAGAGTCTCACTCTGTCCCCTAGGCTAGAGTACAGTGGTGTGATCTCAGCTCACTGCAACCTGTCTTCTGGGTTCATACGATCCTCCCACCTCAAGCCACTGGAGTAGCTGGAACCAAAGGTATCTACCACCATGCCCGGCTAATTGCCATGTTAGCCAGGCTGGTCTTGATCTCCCAGCCTCAAGTGAACCTCCTGCCTCTGCCTCCCAAAGTGCTGGGATTATAGGCATGAGCCACTGTGCCCGGCCTATTTTTTTTTTAATAAGTAAAATATTAAAATAAAAAATAAAAATTCTATATCCAATGAAAATGTTTTTCAAAAAAAAAAAAGGGTGAGGCCAGGTGCAGCGGTTCACATCTGGAATCCTAGTGGTTTGGGAGGCCAAGGCAGGTGGATCACTTGAGCTCAGGAGTTTGAGACCAGCCTAGGCAACAAAGGGAGAGATCTTGTCTAAAAATAAATAAATAAACAAAAACGAAGGCAAAATAAAAGACATTTTCAATTGAACAGAAACTGACAGAATTTGTCACCAACAGATCTGTACTTTAAAAAAATAACATCACTGGCCAGGTGCAGTGGCTCACACCTGTAATCCCAGTACTTTGGGAGGCTGAGGCAGGTGGATCACAGGTCAGGAGATTGAGACCATCCTGGCCAACATGGTGAAACCCCGTCTCTACTAAAAATACAAAAATTAGCTGGGCATAGTGGCATGCGCCTGTAGTCCCAGCTACTCGGGAGGCTGAGGCAGGAGAATCTCCTGAACTCGGGAGGTGGAGGTTGCAGTGAGCCAAGATCACGCCACTGCACTCTAGCCTGGCGACAGAGCGAGACTCCATTGCAAAAAAAAAAAAAAATAGCTAAGGGAAATAATGCCAAATATAAAAGATGAATTCTTCTTGCTTCTTAATTTACATAAAAAGCAAATGACTGTTTAAAGCAAAAATAGTAATCATATATTGTGAGTTCTATAATCGAAGTATGAGTGAAATATATGACAAAAATAGCACAAAGAATGAGGATAACAGAAGCAGGCTGTTGCCAGGGTCAAGAATCAAAGAAGAAATCACGGGGAAATTAGGAAATATTTTGAATTGAATGATAGTAAAAACACAACAAATCAAAAGTGGGATGCCACTAAAGCAGTGGTTAGGGAGAAATTTATAGCTTTAGTAGCTAACATTGGAAAACAAGAAAAATTTGAAATCAATGACCTGAGCATCTACCTTAAAAAGCTAGAAAAAGACCAATTAAAATCAAACCAAGAAGAAGGAAATAAAACAGAAGTGGATAAAACAGAAAACAGAGAAAATTGAAGTGAAATATAAACTAACATTATTGGGAATGAAAGAGATGAATGCTAGGTATCTCACAGACATTAAAAAGAAAACAAGGAAATACTCTGACAGGCTTTGTCAATAAATTCAACAACGGTTTAAATGACTTCAAAACAGTGCTTGAAAGATACAATTTATCACAACTGACTCAAAATATCTGTTAAACTGAATTAGTAATTCAAAATATTCTCACAAAGAAAATGCCCAACTGCAAACCTAAATGCTCATCAACTGAAGACTGTATAAACAAATCATACTTAGAAAAAAAAATAGAAATGAGCCAGGCGCGGTGGCTCAAGCCTGTAATCCTAGCACTTTGGGAGGCCGAGGCGGGTGGATCACGAGGTCAAGAGATCGAGACCATCCTGGTCAACATGGTGAAACCCCGTCTCTACTAAAAAAATACAAAAGATTAGCTGGGTATGGTGGTGCGTGCCTGTAATCCAAGCTACTCAGGAGGCTGAGGCAGGAGAATTGCTTGAACCCAGGAGGCGGAGGTTGCGGTGAGCCGAGATCGTGCCATTGCACTCCAGCCTGAGTAACAAGAGCGAAAACTCCATCTCAAAAAAAAAAAAAAAGAAAAAAGAAAAAAGAAAAAAAAATAGAAATGAAGAACTACTGATATGCACATAAATGACTTTCAAATGCATTATGTTAAACATAAGATGTCAGATCCAAAGACTACATATTATATGATTCCATTTAGATGCCACTGAAGAATAGGCAAAACCAAGCAATAGTGAAATAATTGAGGACTGTGCTTGCAAGGGAGGAGGTAGTGACTGGAAAAAGGCAGAAGGGAATTTTTAGGCATAAGTTCTTTACTTTGGCATATAAATTATATGGGTAGATGCATTTATTCAAATCACTGTGCATTACCTTAAAATCTGTGCATTTCAGTGTAGGTTGAACCATGCCTTAAAAAAACTATTAATGTAAACAAAAAGGAAATGTTTCTACAATCCCCTCTCAAAACAACCAACATGTTTTCCCTTAAGATTAGAATGAATTCTAATTTGAAACTATTTTTTTACTTTAATTATCATGATATTTTTTCAGTACCTTTAAATGTGCCTTAGATGGACTGCGGTGGCTCACACCTATAATCCCTGCACTTTGGGAGGCTGAGGTGAGAGGATCACTTGAGCCCAGGAGTTCAAGACCAGCTTGGGCTACAAAGTGAACCCTGTTTCTATGAGAAACCAAAAAATTAGCCAGGGATGGTGGCACATGCTTGTGGTCCCAACTATACAGAGGCTGAGGCAGGAGGATTGCTTGAACCCAGGAGGTTGAAGCAGCAGTGAGCTATGTTTGTGCCACTGCACTCCAGCCTGGTGACAGTGCACCCCTATCGCAAAAAAAAGAAAAGAAAAAAAAATTTACTGCCATCTTTTTAACAGTATTTCTTTTTTTTTTTTTTTTTTTTCCTTCCTGAGACGGAGTTTTGCTCTTGTTACCCAGGCTGGAGTGCAATGGTGTGATCTCGGCTCACTGCAACCTCCGCCTCCTGGGTTCAGGCAATTCTCCTGCCTCAGCCTCCTGAGTAGCTTGGATTACAGGCATATGCTACCATGCCCAGCTACTTTTTTTGTATTTTTAGTAGAGACGGGGTTTCACCATGTTGACCAGGATGGTCTCGATCTCTTGACCTTGTGATCCACCCGCCTCGGCCTCCCAAAGTGCTGGGATTACAGGCTTGAGCCACCGCGCCCGGCCCAGTATTTCTAATATTATAGGAATGTACTGTAATTTCACCATTCCTCAGTGATGAATACTTAGCTTGTTTTATGGGTTTTCTCAATTAGAACAAATAAAACATTTTATTAAAATAAAGCCAAACTTTGCAAAAAACAAATAATAATAATTAAAGACTAAGTTTTTAGAAACCATCAACACAATAAGAAAGTTCAGATAAAGGATATTTCTTTTACCCATGAAGATTCCCCAGGCACCGGAACACAATAGAAAGTCTGTCTTTCCAAAGTGGTATTTCGTGGAGAGTTTAAATCAAGTTCTTGTTGAGGCTATGATACACATAAAAAGTATTTTTAAAAATTTATTTTAAAAAAAAATTATTTTAAAATTAGCAAGCACATTTTCATGTAACACCACAGCAAATACTTTACAAGTTAATTTAATTAACAAGTAACAGCCGGGCGCGGTGGATCACGAGGTCGAGAGATCGAGACCATCCTGGTCAACATGGTGAAACCCCGTCTCTACTAAAGATACAAAAAATTAGCTGGGCATGGTGGCACGTGCCTGTAATCCCAGCTACTCAGGAGGCTGAGGCAGGAGAATTGCCTGAGCCCAGGAGGCGGAGGTTGCGGTGAGCCGAGATCGCGCCATTGCACTCCAGCCTGGGTAACAAGAGCGAAACTCCGTCTCAAAAAAAAAAAAAAAAAAAAAAAAAAAAAAAAATTTAACAAGTAACTAATTCCAAACTATCACTTTTTAAAAGAAAACTGACATAAAATCATTTCTTCTTTTTTTTGATACAGTTTCGCTCTTGTTGCCCAGGCTGGAATGTAATGGCCCTGCACCTCCACCTCCTGGTTCAAGCGATTCTCCTGCCTCAGCCTCCCAAGTTAGCTGTAATTACAGGCAAGTGCCACCACACTCGGCTAATTTTGTATTTTTAGTAGAGAAGGGGTTTCTCCGTGTTGGTCAGGTTGGTCTCGAACTCCCGACCTCAGGTAATCCACCCGCCTCGGCCTCCCAAAGCGCTGGGACTACAGGCATGAGCCACCACGCCCAGCCTGAAATCATTTCAAACACAGTCATCAAACACTTCCTCCCTCAAATCCAGAATAATGAGACCATTATGGAGTGACTTATGGCCTGGGTCTAGTTCTCTGCTTTGTGGATCTAGAACCTTACTTCTAACAGATTATCTAGGGTTTTTATATTCTTGGAGTCTAACTCTTGGCTTACCCAAACCTCAGGAGAGTGATTTATCAAACCTTAATACCAGTCTGTTAATTCACAGTAGAAGTTGTTGTTAATTAAATATTCTGGTTCAGTAGGCAGATCTGGACAGAAAAATAGCCCTAATTTGGAAGGTTACTGCAAAGATTACATTTAACAAAAATGTAACTTCTGACAATTATTTAGAATAATGAACTCAATTTGAAAGACAGACCTGTGCAATCTTAACACATGATGAACTTCAGGGCTCTTTCTTTTCTTTTAGAGTGTTTCCACAAAATAAATGCTGTGCCAGGTCTAAGGGATCAACTGTATTAATGATTATGGTATCCCTTGTTTAAGGAGCCCTAACACATTAGGCTAATATATTACATTATTGTACACTAGAAAAAGCTGTATATTAATATAACTCAGTAATCTCAGTATCTGGAAATGGGCCAATAAAAGAGATGAGGCTGCCCATGTGTGACGCTATTAAAGGCTAAGAGAGTCAGTACACATGTTGCTCAAAAATCACAAATAAAAGACTCATTATAGGAAAAAGGTACCTTGGGCCTAGAAAGAAAAGCAAACAAAAAATCCTAGCTTGTATGCATTAGGCTCAAACTTGATGTCTCTTGGGTCTCTTCTACCTCTTAGAGTTTTCTAAGTATATTTGAAAGAGAACATGCCTTTCCTAGTGAGTAATATCTGGCTTTTGAGTATCATCTCAGAGCTACCTAGGAAGGATTATTTCACTAAATTTCTTTATTACAGGCTAATTCTGACAGTTTTCTATGAAAAACAGTAGGATTGCCACTAGCTTTGTTTTTGAAAGAATAAAAAAAGGATTTAATTTTGCAACCTAGGGTAGTTTGTTTTACATATATTATATACGGATATGGGAGAGAGAAATTAATTTTGGCATTAACAGTATTTTCCCTTCTAAAAGATAAGACTAAAAAAGTCACATCAAACTCTTAAATAAAGCCAAATAAAGAAAACATTTCACATGATTTCTTATGACTTATATACAAGATAAATAAATTTAAGATTAGCCAAATTAAATTCTCTGTTTAGGAAAAATTCTTACTAAAAATGTTTTACATACATTAAAGATACATACCCCACACTCTGCTACATCTCTGTATTTTCCAAAATGAAGAACCTATGACCCAAAACATAGGAAAATATAATTATATAAATGTATCAGAACCAAAACTACCACAAACAGCGCAAGAACAAAATTAATACCACAAATTTAGGAAAACAGCAATACCTACATGTGCTTTTGTGTTCTGATTAACCGTTTCATAAACTCCCATGTAAAACTCAGGGTCAAACATATCCTGAATCATGCAACGAAATTTCACAAAACTATTAGGTTTCAAATAATGAAGGGGAACTTCATTCAGTGATGGTACCTTAAAAGAAAATAATCAAGTAAGTCAACTAAATATCCCATCTATACAACATTAAGCATACATACAACTTTATATCCAGACTCAAACTGTTAAAGATACACCCACCCATACCTCATCAGGTAGCCGAATGATCTCACTGGCCAACTTAATTCTTGGGATAAGTTCTCTTCCAGTTCTTCCCAGTTTTAGATAACATTTGACCATAATGTAAAAGAATGCTAAAAAATGTTTTTCCTTTAGAACATTTTTCAATTAGCAAAAAGGCATTCACCTCACTGAGCTCTTCTCTTAAAACCAGCACATGCCAATTCTTTCAAAATGAAGGTAATAAAACAAAGGTAATTGATTCTTTTGCAACTAAAGATTTGTCTTAGGAAGCAATACAGTCAGTTACTGCCACCTAGAGGTATAATGTATTAGTATTTATTTGCTTAAACAATTACGAAAAGATGAAAATCTTTTCATACAAACATACCTGAAGCAGAAGTACACATTAATCTACGTGTTTTTAAATTACATGTGTGTTACTACTCTACCAAGAGAAACCGTACAGTCTGCCCAACCCTCTCCCCCCGAAAATAGCAATAAGCTTACCCACTTAGGAGCATTATTTTCCTTTAGTTTTTCCTTAAAATACTCAATTACTTTCTTCTCCCAGTCAGGATTAACTCCATTTTGGGCTGAAAGAGAAATGTACTTTTCAAAGCTAATATACAGGCAATATATAATCAGAGACTATGATCAGGTGAGTCATACAATAGTTTAGCCAGCAAAAACCAAAATAAAATTTGCTACTATGATAGAATGAACTTTAGCTAAAAGGATGAATTTTTTACTTCAGTACATCTGAAGTACTACACAAGACACATTCAACAAACTGTACTGGGCCGGGAGAGGGACAGCTATAAATCAGGAGGATGCTGACTTCCTGCCAGCTCTCTGGCACCCACAGTGAAGCTGGGGACACCTACAGAATGAGATACAAGGCCACCTAGATTCAGCAGCCTATGAGCCACTGCTGGTAAAGCACTTTGTTCCTTTAAAACATTTTTATGTAGTTGTTTGTTAATCTTTACAACTATCCTGAAATGAAGAGCTGAAGTTTGTTTACAATTTCATTTGGGAATAATTCCAGACTCAAAAAAGTTTGAAAGAGCACCTGTATCCCTGCCTCACTTGCTTATCATTTGCTCCATCTCTTATTATTTTTCTGACTCAATTAAGTTGCACAGGCTGGGTGTGGTGGCTCACGCCCATAATCCCAGCACTTTGGGAGGCTGAGGTGGGGGGATCACCTGAAGTTGGGAGTTTGAGACCAGCCTGACCAACATGGAGAAACCCCATCTCTACTAAAAATATAAAATTAGCCAGGCGTGATGGTGCATGCCTGTAATCCCAGCTACTTGGGAGCCTGAGGCAGGAGAACTTTTTTGAACCTGGGAGGTGGAGGCTGCGGCGAGCCAAGATCTCGCCATTGCACTCCAGCCTGGGCAACAAGAGCGAAACTCCATCTCAAAAAAATCAGAAAAACAAAAAAAAGATTAAGCTGCACTATCAGGTATTTTTGCCTCCAAATATTTCACTGTGTCTCCTAAGGAAACTATCTTTTATAACCATAGAACTGTTATCAACCTCAGGAAATTCAAAATTGACCCGATACTTTTTTTTTTTGAGACGGAGTTTTGCTCTTGCTACCCAGGCTGGAGTGCAATGGCACGATCTTGGCTCACCGCATCCTCCGCCTCCTGGGTTCAGGCAATTCTCCTGCCTCAGCCTCCTGAGCAGCTGGGATTACAGGCACGCGCCACCATGCCCAGCTAATTTTTTGTATTTTTAGTAGAGACGGGGTTTCACCATGTTGACCAGATGGTCTCGATCTCTTGACCTCGGGATCCTCCCAAAGTGCTGGGATTACAGGCGTGAGCCACCGCGCCCGGCCGACCCAATACTTTTTATCTAACCTCCCATCCATATTCCAATACTATCCTCTGTAGCACTTTTTTCCCTTCAGTACGAGACCTGGCCTAGGATCACTTTTGCATTTAGCTATCAGGTCCCTTTACTCTCCTTTAATCTAAAATAGTTCCTCAAGCTTTATATTTTACGACATTGCTATTTAAGAAGAATAAGGTCCTTTTTAAAACATTGAATGCTTCTCAATTTGGATTTGTTGGTTCCCTTATGATTAGATTCCAATCAAGTATAACCAAACTGCTGTTTAAATGATGGTTTCAAATTGCTGTTTAAGTGATGTTGTCAAACTACTGTTTAAGTGATATTTTGCCCTTCCAGTTATCTGGAAAGACATGATGTTCATCTTCCCTTCATTGGTGATGTTAATGTTAATTTTGATCACCCAGTCAAAGTGATAGTCCATTTATCTACTGTGTAGTTTATTTACTCCTTACAATTAATAGGTCATCTACAGAAGGCACTTATGGGAATTGGCCAAGACCAAAAAGTGAGCTATTGATGGAATATAGATTTATGTGAACTAAAACCACCAAACCACACAGTGGGCCAATCCTGCCGCCGTTTGTATACATCACACAGTGTTATGAAAATTTGGAGTACAAAGCAAAAATTCTACACTTGTTATGGAGCTGAATCTGTTGAAAATGCTCATACAATCCTAACACCATGTTTGAGCAGGACTTCCAAATACAGTTATTTATCTGGACAAAGGCCAGTTCTGAAAAAGAAGTAGGGATAGGTAACTCCTCAGCTGATTCTGATGCCCAGGCGTTAAATCCAGTAGTAAACTGGTCCTCAAAGTTGGTTCCCGGAACAGCATGATTAGCACCACTTGAATACTTGTTAGAAATGCAAATTATTCAGCCCAACCCCAAACGATAGAATCAAAACTCTTAAGGGTGGAGCCTAGCAATTCAAGTTTTAAAAAGCCCTCTGGGTTACTGACTGTAATGCACACTCAAGTTTAAGAATCGCTGCTCTACTAGATACAGTGAATTGGGTAAAAGATAATGGGTATTTTCGCTTATAGTCAAAATGAATGTTTAAAGAAAAGACTATTACACAGCCATGACTGCCACACCAACTATTCTGCCTGCAACTGTGTAAAAAATGTAAGAATATCACGTAACAAGTAGTAAAGCTATATTAAGCAGTGACTAGGGAGCAGCAAGTTATTTCTAAGTTACCTGAATGTATATAAATGCAATTTTTTTTTTTTTTTTTTGGACAGGGTGTTGCTCTGTCACTCAGGATGGAATGCAGTGGCGTCATTCTGGCTCATTGCAACCTTAATTTCCTAAGCTCAATTGATCCTCTGGTCTCAGTCTCCTGAGTAACTGGGACCCAGGCATGTCCCATCACGCCTGGCTACCTTTAAATTTTTTGTAGATACAGAGGTCTTGCTATGTTGTCCAGGTTGGTCTTGAACTCCTGGGCTCAAGTAATTGATCCTTCTACCTCTGGACTTAAAGTGAAAAAAAATCTCCCGGCTGGGCACAGTGTGGCTCACAACTGTAATTGCAGCACTTTGGAAGACTGAGGCAGGTGAATCACCTGAGGTCAGGAGTTCGAGACAAGGCTGGCCAACATGGTAAAAGCCCGTTTCTACTAAAAATACAAAAATTAGCCAGACGTGGTGGTGCGTGCCTGTAATTCTAACTACTCGGGAAGCTGAGGCAGGAGAATCACTTGAACCCGGGAGGCAGATGTTGTAGTGTGAACCAAGATTGCCCCACTGCACTCCAGCCTTGGTGCTAAGAACAAAACTCTGACTCCACCCCTGATAAAAAAGAAAAAATTATCAAGACACTGGATTTCTCCAGACCTCATGTATGTCTTTCTCCCTTAGGATCCAACTATGTATCCTTACCATATTGCTGCAATAAATCTTGGGAGAAGTACAACTATACAATGAGTGATATAAGTCCTTCTAGTAAATCTTCAGGCATATGGATGGTTGTGGGACCACCACTTACACATTTGTGTATGAATACTTCATTTCTTTTCATTGCTATTATTTCTCTGAATAACAACTAATTTGTTCATCTGTTTGCTTGCTGAAGGACATTCAGATTGTCTTCAGGTTTTGACAACTATAAACGAAACTATAGAACACGTGTCTGTAGATTTTCATGTGAACATGAGCTTTTATTTTTCTAGAATGAGTATCTAGATACGACACAACTGGGTACATGGTAAATATATGATTAAGATTCTGCCTGTCTTCCAAAGTGGCTACACCGTTTTGCTTTCTAAGAGATCTAGCTGTTCATATCCTTGCCAGTACTTAGTAACATCACCATGTATTTTTAAATTTTAGCTGTTCTACTACATAATATCATGGCAATTTGCATCTTTTCAGGGGGATATTTGCCATCCTTGTATCCTTTCTGGTGAAATGTCTATTTAAGCCTACTTAACTCTTTTTCCCCTTTTAAAATTGAGTTTTTAAATTGCCACTGTGTTTTCTTTCATATTCTGGATTTAAGTTCTTTTTCTGATATTGGATTTCAAATATATTCTCCCAGTGTCGAGTTTGTCTTTTCATGCTAATAGTATTTTTTTTTTTTTAACAGAGGAAAGGTTTTCAGTTTTGATGAAGCCCAATTTATCGAATTTTTATTTTATGCATTGTGCCTCTGTTGTCATGTTTTAAGAACTCACTGCCAAACCCCAGGTCACAAAGATCTGTTTTCTTCTAAAAGTTTTATAGTTTCAGGTTTTATAGTTAGATCTATAATCCATTTTGAGTTAATTTTTATATGAAATGAAGTACAGGTCGAGATTTGTATTTTTCCATGTAAAGGTTGAATTGTTTATGTCTTTGTTGAAAATAACGGCCTTTTTCAATTTGTATTAGCTTTTGTATCTTTGGGTTTTTTCCTTTTTTTTTTTTTCCCCTAGAGACAGGGTTTCATCATGTTGGTCAGGCTGGTTTTGAACAGGTGATCCACCTGCCTCTGCTTCTCAAAGCGCTAGGATTACAGGCGTGAGTTTTGAACTCCTGACCTCAGGCGCCCACCCTTGTATCTTCGTTAAAAAGCAAGAGGGCCGGTGTGGTGGCTCACGCCTGTAATTCCAGCACTTTGGGAGGCCAAGGTGGGTGGATCAACTGAGGTGAGGAGTTCGAGACCAGCCTGTCCAACATGGCAAAACCCCATTTCTACTAAAAACACAAAAATTAGCCAGGCGTGGTGGCATGCGCCCGTAATCCCAGCTACTTGGGAGGCTGAGACAGCAGAATCCTTTGAACCAGAGAGGCAGAAGTTTCAGTGAGCTGAGGTTGCGCTGCTGCACTCCAGCCTGGGTGACAGAGTGAGACTCAGTCTCCAAAAGAAAAGAAAAAAAAAAAAGCAATGACTACAACAGGAATAAACCTTGAAAACATTATGCTAAGTGAGACAAGCCAGACATAAAAGATCAAATATTGTATGATTCTACTTATATGAGTTAACTAGAGTAGGTAAATTCATTGAGAAACTACAATAGAAGTTCTGGGGGAAGACTAGAGGGAACTGGAGCTGCGGGGTCAGATGGCTATTTCATCTTGGGTGAGTTTGGACAGTTTGTAGTTGTGATCAGCAGAATAATGCCCAACCCCTCCCCACCAAGATATTCATGTCCTAATCCCCAGAACTTGTAAATATATGTTATATGGGAATTAAGGTAGCAAATGGAATTAAGCCTAATAATCAGTTGAACTTAA